ATTTTTGTTGTATAAGCGGAACATATTGGTTCATGATATTCCGTGTATTCGCAGCTATTCAACATTTTTGCTTTAAGTCACAGATGAATCAGAGAAGAGGCAATTTCTATTGAAAGCAGATCTGTCTCTACTTTGTTCCCCTCATGTTGCATGTTGACCTGCTCCGTAAGATTTAAAAAAAAGGCTTTCCTGCTAGTCTCGCTGTCTCAAGTGAGTCCTGCTGCTGAGAACCTTTGCAAATATTTCCTGATCAATGATCAGACAAACTCCTTTATTTTGACTTCAGAGCATTTTTGTCAAAGCTGGTTGTCTTGATATAAAACATTAACCTTAAAAAAGAATAAAAAAGAAAGTGGAGGAAGGGAACTCATATTATTCTGTCAGTATTTTCCAATAAATTATTTATATGGAATAAATAGCTATGTAACATGATACCAGTCGTTTTATGAATAAGTTTCTTTTCTAGTGATTTTTCGAAAAAATTCAATTCTTTTAATTGTTAACACTGTATACGTGCAGAAGTTTACAGTAAGTTAATTTCATGTGTCTATTTCCCTCTTAGGCAAGGCTTGCTGAAAGCTTGTTATTACGGTAGATGGTTCATAGATATCAAGTGGCCAAATATTGAAATTTCGGTATCAGAAGTTTTAATTGCTGTTTTATTTTTGTTGCTGCTCCGTGCGTAATTCACATTGAAACCGAAAATGTTATTCCCATCTCATACGTGACGTTGCGCTATTTCTCTAGTGTGGCACAACGTTTCTTCTACAGTGTCTTCACTTTCAGGTTTCTGTGAGGTAAATCTGTACATCCAATGCTCACCTCACATTTCCCCAACTCTTTTAACTCCGTTCTCCTGTTGGCAAGAAACATTTTTAAATATTACTGTGCAGATGTAATTAATATCTGATTAAATACCGCGAGGCTTTGCTGGTGTACAGGATAATCCCCCACCAATTGCTATATGACATGTTGTACAGTTTAGTTTACCAAATTTACTTGTTTAGGTTTAAACCGAATGCTGATTATCATACTATATAGTCAGGTGGGTCAAAGAGCTTTGGCAGCCGCATTTGGCGCTTTACCATACATCATGGTTATTTTCTCCTGACCACACCAGAATCCCATGCTGTCGCTGTTGTTCGCAAGTCGTCGAATTGCTACCCGTTTTTCAGCTGATTTCACCAAAACAACGTGGCTGAATCCTCGCTTCCTTTGTCAAGAAATTTTAAGCGGTGTCGACAGATTTAGTTCGAAGTTAAATGGAATCCAAAGTTCGAAGTCGATCTCTTACCACACTGCAACCGTGGTCCCATATTATTCAGAAAAATAGCTGGGAGCAGAGAATGCCATTAATTATGCAACAGGTAGTAGCATAAGTAGTCGAAGTTACACGCCTACACGAATAACAGGCTGTCACTAAAATAACGAGGAGGGAAGCGGCACTACGTCATAAACTCAGTTGGCACGCAGGTGGTGAATTTTGCTTATCATATGAATGTTATGATAAACAATGGCACAAATCCTTTAATAGGCAGTTATCCACACCACCGGGTCAAACGGCAGGATTCAGTCTTGGTGGTCCATTGCGGCGCCTGTATTTCATTGTCATTGTCGATTACAAATGCCTAACTTGGACAGTTTGAATCGATGACAGTGATTAAATAATGAATGGATTGAAGGTTTTAGAAAATCATAGCACTTTTTAACTGTAGGATTGAAGCAGATTTAATTTGAGGTCATCAATAAACCTTAAGTTTTACATTTCCCTCAATATCTAACCTTCAGCAATATTTGAACCAACGATTCAGACTTATTTTACACATTTTACACACTAACCAAACTTCAAATTGATTCCCATTCGGCAAGCGAACATCTGCGTAGATTGATATCTTCGAAAATAGCATCTGTTTATTGGACTGACTCATAAATAAAATAGTTCGAAAGAATTTATTTTAGATTTATTTTGCCCGTGGAGACCTTAGTCCCTGAGCTTTGATACACATTATACACGCCTAATGCCATGCGTGTGCCTGCTTCTTCTTGCTTGTCCTTATAACATTGCACTCTGAAACAGTTATAAAGCGTTTATCAGAACGATTTAGCAAGCAGTTTCGCGCTAGGTGCCATAATCAAAAGCAAATTCATATTTTAGAATAATAATATTGCCATATTCACTTCATTGTCCTCTCTGCTAACAATGCGTGATCCTTCAAAAGTTGTCTGATTCCACAAGCCCACATAAGTTTATCTTTCAGTTGCAGACATCGTCGAGTGCTAGAAACAGCACAGGAGCCAGCGATTGCGATGATTATTCTTTTGCATCGTTAATCTTCGAAACTTTATTACCCTGACTGGCAGTGTTGGCGGATGTCGCGGCAATTTCCGTTATGTGAGATGCATGCACAGATCGTGAGCATGAAAAATCCTGACAGATTCAAGTTAACGAATTCAGCATAAACGCCTTCCTAACAGCTGATACCTGGGAAAAACTCTGGGTCCATGGTTTTTCTCTGGTGACGGTCGAAAAGGACATAGGCATCCGTTGGACTGAATTGTCGACTAAGTGTCACGTTCCAAGGGAAAGCCTAGTTGAATGCTAAGCCACAACGGTCTGACGTTTTTACTTCAACTGACCACTGTGGAAGGTTAGAAACTTTGTCCTTGCAAGAGCGGTAGGTGCGGACATCACCGTAAGTGGCGTATCAAGTAACAGGCAATTTGCGAATGTGGCCAGATTAAAACAGCAGAGGACTTCAACGGTGACTATTACGTTTAGGATCCTGATGGTGAAATGCAGGGGACCTCTTGACTGCTTCAAACGGCTTAGAACTGCTATCAGGGTTGCCCTGTACTATCAACGTTCGATTGATGCTGTGACAGAGAGACGAAGGAAGTGAAATTCATCAGAAAGCACTCATTCACTATGTTTCTGTGAGGTTGAC